TTTTCTGCACTGCACGCATATAAAATAAATTTCAAAAACCAAGGCATTTCTGCAAGACTATCTTAGACATGGCTATACAATTTAATTAGAAGAGCATCCAAAAGTTAGAGCAACGTAATATTGTATTTGGCTTCTTTTGCAATACTACGTACGCTTACGCAATAGTACGCAATAGTACGTACGCAACTAGTAGTACGTACAACAAATAGCTACGTACGCAATAGCACGTACGCTTTTTTTTCTACTACCCCCTCCCCCTCATTTTGCCATACGCTTTTTTGAGTACCCTCTACCTCCCTTAAAGTACCTACGCTTTTAACCTACCAACCCAAAATTTTATGATATTTTTTTAAATTTAGTGTCTCCATACTTTTACAATTGATCTACTTCCCCCCCCCCCCCATCTCATATACGCCGTTTGAAAACCCTCTTTTCATTTAGAAACGTCTTCGACGCTAAACGCTCATAAAGGTAGGGTAGTTTAGGGTAATATGAGTTAAGCAAAAATTGGACCTTAAGCAAAAATTGGTCAAAAAATTGGACCTTAAGCAAAAACCAAGCAAAATTTGGAATATTTTCAAAAATAATTATCCTGGATCCAAAATTTTTGCGAGAAAACAATTTTCCGGGATCCCTACTTTTGACCCACTTTGATATTTGGGTTCTAAAACTTATTCTTAAAAACACAGAGGTTTTATAAAAGTAAAAAAAGTGCTCATATTATTCGGACCACTTGGTAATATAAGCATTTTATATTAGCTCAAAAAAATTACATTAATTAAGTAAAATAAAATACAAACCTGACAATTAGAATTAAATAATTTTTGGAACATGATGATTCGTTATTAACAAAACTTATCATTAAAAGATCAAATTTTAAGCTACATTTTTTATACTTAAAATTAGTTAATTAAATTTGCTCATGCCAAACCATTATTATTTCAAATGAAAATTTTTAATATTTATCAGCTGAATATTTTTAATATACTTTTTATTTTTATTTGTTTTATGTTCAAATGTAAAACCAACGAATTTCCAGTTTCTTTTCATAATCTTTATAGTTTAAGGTGGTATCCAGCCATTATTTTGGTAAAAAATGAAAAAAAAAAAACATGAAAAATTTGAAAAAATGTTATTTAGACAATTGAACATTGTATAATTCAATAGTTTAAATTTCTTTTTTAAAATAATTTTAGAATACCAATAATATTCTTTTCAAACATCGATGATTTATGTCGTCTACATGATTTATAATTTTAAAACTGATTTTTCTCAGTTTTTGTTTTTTTTTATGAGTAGGTGTAGGAAAACAATAATATCTCAATAAAAAAACATTATTTTAGCTTTAAATTTTCAGGATATGCTCATTATTAATGTGTTTAGTGCCTGAAACTAAAATAAAATTAAAAAAAAAATTAAACTTAACCTACAATTACCATATCCATTAAGTGTTTTATCGCTAAAAATAGTTTTTTATACTATTAAGTCTGCCATTTTTGATCGCCTAAAATTAAAAAAAAAATTTTGGTTCAGGCACAAGCTACACTAGTATACTAGCAGTATGCAAAATTTTAACCTTTAATATTGATGTAATCTTAAGATATTTTTGTTCTTGGGACGTTAACTTTTTCACCTTTTTTGCTGAGGCAGCAATTTTTTTTTTTCAAATTAAAAAAATATTTGCAATACGTTTTAGATTTTTATATATTATGCTAGTAATTCATAAAATATATTTATTATGTGTAAAATATAAGAAAATAGAAATAATGGCTGGGTACCACCTTAATAGATAAAAATAAATATAACTAAAAAAATTTGTTTTATCTTTTAAAGACATTTTTTATATTTTTAAGTTCTTCTGAAAATGAATATGAAGTTTACTACATAAGGTAATATATAAATATTATATCTGATCCACAACTTATGTGTTTATAAAAACAGTACATTTTAAATTACTTTTGTATTTATATATAAAAGTATCAAAAATTTCTTTATTATAATTTTATTTATATATTCTTACGAAATTTACGTTCTCGATAATTTTTACTAATTATCACTACAACATTGTTTTGAGTTTTGATTTTATATTTCGTGTTAATTTAATGTACTTAATATTCACGAGTGGTTCTCGATGATAAGTCCTGAAGGTCTTCTGCGAGTGTCCGCATTCTTTCTTTTTTGTTTTTATTTTTATACCAGTATATTTTATAGAAGTGTACCGGATTTGATTTTTCCAAATCCAGCCGGAGCCGGATTTGCCGGATTTCTACTGACAAATCCGGCCAGAGCTGGAGCCGGTGCCGGATTTTGAAACAAAGTTACAGGAGCCGAAATCCTGTACATCCCTACTTGATATTGGTAGTGGTCAACATTGTTGACCATTTTCAATACCAAGTGACAACTGATTTTTGTTAAACTTAATTGTTGTTATTAAAATAGAAAGACACAATTTCATATAATATATCATTGCATAACAAAATAATTGGATAAATAATTGAAACTCTCAATTTAAAAGTGAAAATTTCAACTATTTTTTAAAAATGTATTGGTCAGTTCTTGAACTGTGCTTTAGAAATATTAGCATAAATATCTGTTATTATTATGTGGCAGGAATGAACTACGATGATCATTGAAGACCTCCCCAGCAAAACTGAACAAACGTTCTGATGGTGAACTGGTTGGTTAGGCACCCAAATAAATGCGAGTTATTGTCACCATAGCTTGTAATTGTTGCATGTTATTTCTTTTATTGTATAATGATTTTTATTTTAACTATCTTATTGTACAAATTTATTGAATATTTAAGGAAAGAATCTAAAAAATAATAAAAAAATAAATAAATAAATGATAAACTGAAAAAATTAGTCCGCTACTTTTTCAATTTAATTACTTCAAACCTTTGAACAATAAAAACTCAAATTTTTTGAACTTAAATTACAGAAAAACATTGAGTATTGTTAAAGTATGTTTTTATTTTTTGAAGGGGACAATGGTATGACAACAAATCCTATATAAAAAGTATCCACTCTTGAGTACAGGCACGGGTCTTAAAAATAAATCCAAAAGCATTTTACATGCCCTGCGCTAGCAACCCCCTCAACTTCCTAATTTGGGACGCAGCAAAATGATTATCTAAATCTAGGACGTTAAATAGTCCTAGATTTAGATAATCATTTATACAGCAAATACATAAATAATATAAATTATGTAAAAAAAACATAATTTATATCATTAATGTATTTGTTTAACAAATTCATATTTGTTGTGTCTATTATTTTATTTTTATTTATTTTTATTTTTGTTTTATCTTTTAAACACAATAATAATGGCAAATAACTTAGTAAATTTTATTGTTTCTAACTTTAGTACTTTCTTGTCTTTGATATTTTAAATTAATTTTCCAAAATACCAATCTTATTTAATTTATAAATTTTAACATACAGAATTATAGTTTTTATCCAAGACAAAAAGTATTTAATATACGTGACAAATTTGAATAAAAAAATAATAATTTGTGGATACTACAATGAATGGTCTTTTGAGAATAAAGATTTATACACAAGATTCTGTTCAATATTTAGAGATAATGAGGCAAGGTTATTGCTCTTGACATATTAAAGATTATTGTTCTTGACATATTAAAGGCTTTCAATAAACTCTGGCATGCTGGTCAATTTTATAAGTTTTTTCATATTGTATACTTCAGAAGCAAGGCCGGCGCGATAGAGGGTGTGAGACACCCACCCAACCCCATTAACGATTTTTAGTCGGCAAATTAGACCCTCAGTCGGCAAATTTGACCCTTTTTGACTAGTTAGTCGGCAAATGTCGACCCTTTCGATAAAGGTTAGTCGGTAATTTAGACAGTTAGTCGGAAAAAGTCGTCATGACAGTCGGCAAATTTTCGAAATCGAGGACCTTATTTTTTTTTTAGTCGGCAAAAGTTGTAATGGTACCCCCCCTACGTGACACCGCGCCGGCCCTGCTCAGAAGGTTTTTGACATTCTTTTATATATCATAAATCATTCCTTATTAATTGCATAAAATTGCAATATTAAAGTTCTTCATTTTCTTCAAACTCATAATTTACAACTTTTTAAAATATTTTGTCTAACGTTTTTTTTGCTCTATAACAAAATTTTTTGTTTTCTGGTAATTCCCAATTTAAATTTTAATTGCTTGCAACATTGTTGGAAATAAATTAGTTTAAAAAATGTGGATAGAGAAACATGAGAGACTTTGACCATATTGTCATTGTTATAGTAATATTATACAGTATTTCAGACAAAAGATTTTAGAAAAAAAAATCTCTCTGCACTGCTTATCTGTGTTTAAAAAGAATTTTTTTTTTTACTAGTTCCACAATAACTTAAAAGTATAATTATGTAAATAATTATTATGCAATCAATAAATATTTTATCTATTATTTTATATTATTATATATATATATATATATATATATATATATATATATAATATATATATATATATATATATATATATATATATATATATATATATATATATATATATATATATATATATATATATATATATATATATATAATAATATAAAATATTATATATAAATAATATATAATATATAATATATAATATATATATATATATATTTATATTTATATATATATATATATATATATATATATATATAACATATTATATATAAATATTTTATATATTATTTTATATATTATAAATTATTATATAATCAATAAATATTTACATTCACATTTAAAATGCTAAATTCTACTTAACCAAAAACACAAATGTTGTACTACAAAATAACTTATATTACATAGTCAACAAGTTGTAAGCTTTTGCGTAGTTAAAAAGCCTTCGTATAGTTAAAATATAATCTTAAGCTCTACAAAATAATCAGTAACTGTTATGCAAAATAAATAATCGCATTTTGTAAGCATAAAAAGTCAATCTGAAACTTAAACTTTGTCCTTTATTCTATGCACAAGTATTTTTAATTTTTCCAATAAATATTATGTAGATATATTAGGTTGACCGGAAAGTAATGTCGTATTTTTACGTCAAATTAAAACAAATAATTTTTTTATAATATTTATTTTTAATCAATGATATAATCACCCTCATTTTCCACAACCTTTTGCCATCGAGCGGGCAAACTTTCTATACCAGATCGAAAAAAATGTATTGGTTTGTCATTAAAATATCTGGAGATGCCATTTTTTAAGCAGTACAAAGTTTGAAATTTTTTGTCACTTAGAAAGTGCTGTAAGGATCGGAACAAATGAAAATCTGAAGGGGCGATATCAAGTGAATATGGAGGGTGGGGCAGCACCTCCCATCCCAATTCATTAATTTTTTCTAGCGTCCGTCGTGCACAGTGCGGCCTTGCATTGTCATGTTGAAGAATGACACCTTTTCTGTTGACGATAGCCGGGTAATTCTCAACTAGAGCTTGGTTCACTCGATCCAATTGTTGACAATAAAGGTCCGCATTAACAGTTTGTCCAGGAATAAGCACTTCGAAGTGGACGATTCCGCGGATGCTCCACCAAACACACAGGAGCGCCTTCTTGGGGTGTAATCCCGGCTTTGCAGTACTGCGTGCTGGTTCATTTGGGGAGAGCCACTGCCTTTTGCGTTTTGGATTATCGTATAGGACCCATTTTTCATCTCCAGTGACCAAACGATCAAGAAACGGTTCTGCATGGTGCCGTTGAATCAATGCATTGCACGTGGTTGATCTGTTGGCTTTGTTTTGCACTGACAAGTTATGGGGGACCCAAACACCTGCTCTGCTGATTTTTCCTTTCTGGTGTAAATGTTCTTGGATGGTCGACCAAGGTTGGTTAAGGGTGTTCGACAATTCTTTGATGGTTTGGCATGGATTTGCTTCAACTTCTGCCCTTAGAACGTCGTTGTCTAATGACATTGGTCTTCCTGGTCGATGGGCGTCAGAAAGATCAAAATTCCCAGATCTAAACTTGGAAAATCATCTTTGGCATTTGCGAACATCTAATAAACCTGGGTAAACATCACTAATGTTCTTAGTCGCAACTGTAGCGTTATTACCCTTGCGAAATTCAAAAAGCATACAATGACGAATGTGTACTTCCTGTATTTCGTATGCCATTTCACTCCAATTTGCAAAGAAAACTATTTAATTTTAAATAATTTAGAAGTAAACAAGTCACACTAATATAAAAATAACCTGTGCACGTGTTCGAGATACACAATAAACTGGCCAACGATTATCGAATGTCAACATGCGCAAAAACGACATTACTTTCCGGTCAACCTAATATAAATCATTTAATAATTTTATTTTTTGGAATAAAAAAAATTGTTTCTTTAATGTTTGGTTCAATTTTATTTATATCGACAAATTAAATAGAAAATGTAATATATAATATAATGCTTGAGACTAAAAGCTTTTAATTTTAAACAGAAAAGCTAAGTGATAAAAAGTATTCTTAGTTGAAATTTTTACTTTAAGTTCTAAGAAAGCAAGATGTCATTAGCGCAGAACAGATGTTGACATTTCTAACATGTGTATATTCTTTGGATTTTCATGCAATTAGTAAGAAGAATAAAGGACACCCACGAGCACACAATGTATATATTAAAAAAAATATATTTTACTGGTTTTTGTTTTGTTAACTGTTATTTTAAATTTTTTCCCTTTTTTTTAAAACGCGTTTTTGAATTTTAAATAACTTAAAGGAATTAAGTTTGTGGAAATGGTTATGGTTAGTTTTACCTCTTTTTTTTTTACACTTTCCATTAAAAGACTATTACTACAGAAAAATAATCTCGCAATGAGGCAGCTTCAAGTAACTTACAAGAACATTCTCCTAATTTAAACAAAGTTATTAGCTACAAATTAGCACAGCCTACTATAGAAGAAATATAATCTCCAACTTGGTTCAGGCAGAAATAAAATGGACCTCAAACATTGTAACTTTTTTTAAAACTCTTTAATTTATATTTAAAGTGTCTAAATTCAAATGAAACTGAAAGAAAATGCGAAGGAGTTACTGCAACGTTGACTGAGGGTTTGGATTTGGGCAACAATATGTTTTCTTCTTCTTCTTTTTGCAAAAAGCGGCATGGATTTAGGGAGCCACCCTGGCCATACTGATAATTAAGTGTTAGAAATTTATTGGCATAAATGTTCATTTTATTGTGATTATAAGCTTTACAAGAAAAAAAAAAGAAACGTTGCAATTTAGTGGAACAAATGTGCATTTTAGTTTTTAACTATTGAGCCACCTTGCTATTCTTTTTTTTTAAATCATAACTAAACACGTTAGTTTAATCATATTCACCATTTTCTTTACACTATTCCAAACGCTAAAAGCTGATTAAATTATAATTTACAAATAAAAATCTTAGAAGACTCAAAAAAGAAAAAAATTAAAAGACTCAAGTAATACATTGGGTAAAAAAATTTGGACATTAAATCTAATAAATTTGAAATCTTATGATTGTTTTGAAAATGAAATCTAATGATTGAAGTTCTTATGTAAAATGCAGCAATGGATTTTTTGCTTAAAATTATAAGTTTAAAAACTTTTAATTTCCCTCGTCATTTTTTTTTTAATGAAGAGCAAACCAAAACCTTGAGGCGTTTTAAATTAGGGCTTGTAATATGGTTAAACCAAAATCTTGAGGCGTTTTAAATTAGGGCTTGTAATATGGTTAAACCAAAATCTTGAGGCGTTTTAAATTAGGGCTTGTAATATGGTTAAACCAAAATCTTGAGGCGTTTTAAATTAGGGCTTGTAATATGGTTAAACCAAAATCTTGAGGCGTTTTAAATTAGGGCTTGTAATATGGTTAAACCAAAATCTTGAGGCGTTTTAAATTAGGGCTTGTAATATGGTTAAACCAAAATCTTGAGGCGTTTTAAATTAGGGCTTGTAATATGGTTAAACCAAAATCTTGAGGCGTTTTAAATTAGGGCTTGTAATATGGTTAAACCAAAATCTTGAGGCGTTTTAAATTAGGGCTTGTAATATGGTTAAACCAAAATCTTGAGGCGTTTTAAATTAGGGCTTGTAATATGGTTAAAGACTCAAGTGATAAACGATAATCTGTTATGTTTAGGTTGATTATGTTTAAAACGTAAGTTTAACATAACTTTAAAAACAACTTTGTAAATAAGGTGGTTGCCCAGGATAGAATTTTTTTTTTAAGAAAGTAAAAAAATGTTTAGCAGACTTTTATCCTCTTCAAAATGATATATAGATCATATCAGGGTTGTGGAGTCGGAGTTGCGGATTTGCAACATTTTTAGTGGAGTCGGAGTTGCTAAACAAAATTGCGACTCCGACTCCAATAGTAAAACTTCTCGGTATTGCACGTGCATGTACATAATATTCAATTAACTTTATATTCATACTAAACCTCAAAGAACTTTTCATAAACTTGTCAAAAAAAAAATTTGTAACTTATCGCGTAATATTTTTTAAAGAATTCGAAGAATTTTTCAAAAATTTTGCTTAGGAGTAAGAGACTTTTTTTTTACGACTTTACACCCCTGGATCATATATATTCAATTTATATAAAATCTTCTGTTTTTCATTTTTTATATAGTGGTATAAAAAACCTTTTTACATTAAAATAATTATCTATTGCCTGAGATGGTCAACGTGTTGCAAAAATGGAGAAGCAATTCAGTGCAATCATTAAAAACAAACATATAAATTTCTTATATATAATCTATACATCATTAGCATTTTCTTTTTTGAGTTTTATAACATTTTAATTTCTAACATTTATTCAAATAGTGCTATGTCTTAAGCACACTTTTTAGCAATAGAGGCATAATTTTTGACTAAATGAGTCAATCAAAATATTGGTATGATAAATAGATTTTACTATCACCTTAAAGCTATGTTGAAAATTTGATGTTGTTACTATGTGTAGATATATTTTGAAATTTTCCATATTTTTGTTTTATTTTAACTATAAAGCGGAGTAATCAAGGCAAAAAAAAAATTTTAATTTGTAAAGTGTAATTATATTTTATGATTGTTAACGATCGATTTGCGTTAATTGTAAATAGTTGTGTATAATATAAATTCATAGTTGCGCTAGCAAAAGCACTTATGATTGAAGAACGGAACGATGGAACGAATGAAAATTTTGCTTCTGCTGCAACAAGAAGACTTGATGAGTCGAGGTTGCTTGAAGATCAAACACAACCAGTTTGTTATGAATGTAAACTCCCCAATCATTTTGCAAGAGATAGTCATCAACGAAAACATAGCAATCGAAGCAAGTTGGGTCGGGGGCAGGGGATAAGCGATGTTTTGTGTTACTCGTGTCAAGAGAAAGGACACATATCAAGAATGTGTCCAAAAAACGTGCCGAGGGAGACGATGTTTGCGCCAGCTCTCTCCCCAAACGATCAATAATGGCGTTACCTACTATACGCTTTGACATTAAAGGCGTTTTTTGTGATGTGTTATTGAATCTGAATGTACCTGCTGTATCATTTATAAAAAATGTGCACCGAAAATTACGAAGAAAGTAGTTAACATGGTAACTGTAAATGGACAACAATAACAGTGCAAAGGCGTTAGCCGAACTCGAATCGCCACGCCAAATGGGAATGAAGTTTTTGTGGAAGCAATTGTAGTTTACTTCAAACCACTTGATTATTGTTTTTTGATGGGTATGGATGGAATAGTACTTTTTGGTGGAGTATCAATATCTGCAACTCGTGATGTTTGTTTTATGGGAAGAAACGAATCATGTTTACTTGGAATAAGATGTGATATGCCAAAAGATGTCAGTAATTTGAATATAACAGCTCGAGATTTCACAGCTTCGTTTGATAAACAAAATCGAGAATGGATAATTGCGTGGAAATGAAGTAATAATTATCATTCTGAAACTTTTGTGAACAAGATTGCTGAATACACTATCCCTGTTGGCATAAAACACAATTACGAAAAAAAAATTGAAGGATGGATAGAGAAAAAATGGCTGCAAAAGTACGATTTGAAAAAACACGGCCCAATAAAAAGTTTGGTTCCTCTCATGGCAGTCGTGCAGCGAAATAAAGGAAAAGTACGACCAGTATTGTACTTCAGGGAGCTGAACACGTTTATTGAAGCATTCACTGCGAACACAGATGCGTGTGCTGACAAACTTCGAGATTAGAGACGGTTTGGAGAAAATGTTTCAATAATTGATTTATCTTCAGCTTACATGCAACTAAAAACTGATGAGAAACTTTGGGCTTACCAAACTGTTGTGTTCCGTGGAAAAAGATTTTGTTTAACACGTTTGGGATTCGGACTAAACGTTGCGCCAGTCATAATGAAAATGGTGTTGGACAAAGTGTTGTCGCAAGACGAAAAAATCTGGAAAGGAACGTCATCATACATTGATGATGTTTTTGTGAATGAAGACATAATACCTGTTCGTCGCGTACTAAATCATTTGGAAACCTATGGGCTTCATTGCAAGCCGGTGGTCCGCGTATCCGATGGAGCAAGAGTTCTTGGTTTACAAGTCGGAATGGAAAATAAAAAGTTGTATTAAAAGAATAGCAAACGCCTTGACAAAAATGTGGGATGAAAAAATAAAATGCAATTATGTGGAGAAAATGTTAAATGATATGATAAAAAGAACACGAAACGACGATCCTGCTAAAGGAATTTGGAGTGTTTACAGTAACGAGGCAACAATTTGGGTAGATGCTAGTTCAATAGCACTAGGCGTGGTTGTCGAGGTTGATGGCAATATAATCGAAGACGCTTGTTGGTTAAGAAAAGGCGACACAACATATGTAAACATGTCTAAACTTGAGGCAGTAATTAAAGGACTTAATATGGGCCTTAATTAGAAAATGGAAATTATACACATCTGCACTGATTCGAAAGCGGTATTCTATTGGGTTACCGACGCACTCACAGGAAAATTTAGATTGAGAACAAAAGCTTCAAACGAAATGCTGATAAGAAGAAGACTTTATAACGTTGCGAGTATAGTGGAAGAATATCAACTCAAAGTAGATATTAAACTTGTTGCTTTGGAGTTTAACTTGGCCGATGCCTTTACTAGAGTGCCCAATAGTTGGTAAAAATTGGTTGATAAACCCTATGAAATGGCAGCAAGTGGCATTAGTAGTACTTCGCTCAAAGACATCGAGCAGGTTCATAGATCTACAGGACATTATGGCGTGAAGAAAACATTGTACTTCGCTCGCAAAATTGACCCGTCAGTGAGCAAGGAAGACGTAAAACAAGTGGTTGAGAAATGCATAATAGGGTACATCTTACT